CGACAAAATCACTGAAGGAAACAATGACACCATAGTTCTTCATCTTCATAATCACTTATTGCACTGTAAATAATGATATCCAAAGGTTATCTCCATTTTACCCATATGAGGACAAACCTTATATCTGTGAAGCACGCAAGGTAGAAGAGTTATCCGTTCCGGCAAGAATAGTATCCGAATCACTAGTTGAACTGCTTGCTGTGAAATATTCACCCTAAATCGGTAGCTGTTATTCTCAGACCCTCGAAAAAAGCTAAAAGCTTAAAAATGAGAAATGTTTTTGAGTTTCAGACCTCGCCTCCACCTGCACGAGCACGTTCACCAAGAACATTAACAGAAATCGATGCATCGGGTTCTACATTAAATTGTATATTTGAATTTCCTGCTGGCTTGGTGTATATTATCGGTTCTCCAGCCGCTTCGGCTCTAGAACCTTCTTTGGGTGTTTCGGTCGCCTGTAGTTTTGACTCGCCTTCCTCAAAGGACGGCTGAAAGACAGTAGGTTAGAAGCGTTCAAAATCCGAGAGTTTCCAATGGTGTTGTACCTTGATAGCTCCAGAAGGCTGCGATACACTTCTTCTGACCACTATACCTACCCTACGACCTTCGTCTTCCTGCTCCTCATTACGTTAGATCAAATTTGAGTCAAAAAACAAAAAGAACATACTCTTTCACTTCTTCGACTGCCTAGCATCTCTTCCTCTCGTTCCGATCGTGAAAATGATCTTGATCGCCTTGACGAACGTTCGGATCTACTTATGCTTCTTCTTTTTCTTCTTCTCCTACTTCTCGAAGGACTCCTTTCAGATCTCCTCGACATAGGGCGCTCACTTCGTGCACTCGATTCAACGTCATATATCTGCAGATGTAGAAATCAACTTAGCCCATGGTTATGAGTGATGCTGGTAATACAAACCGGTAAGGAGGCCATGTTGCAGACGAGTCGGATCACATATAGAGCCAACATAATGGTTGCAACTATAAAGACTGCCTAAATTTAGGATGCTCCGCCATAAAATCATAAATTGCAAACTTCTCAAAGGACTTACTACAGCTATCATACAAACTACGTGTACAAAGTCGGCCCAAGCAGCACTGTGCATTTTGGCTCAGGGTATGGAAGGTCTTGGTAGTTATGGTATTGCCGAACAGCCTGAATTTCACCGGCGAGAAGTGCTTCAGCCTTCAAATGAGAAGTATTTTTAGAAGTTCTCATAAGTGTGGTAAACAAGCCTTATTTCTAAACCTGGCCCTTTCATTGGAACATTTCATTTAAGCTTTTTGCATAAAAAAGAGCAGTCGAAGTTTTTTAAACTTTGATTATTGTACTTTAGTCGGTTTTCTGCAAAGTTAGTCTAAACATGCTGCGAAATAAAAAAGACTTATAATCGGTAAGAGAGCGTAAGATTTACTAGTGTACCAGTGCTTTAGTTATTCGCTAATAGGGACTGCAAGTCTCACAGTTTGAAAGTGCTATCTTCCTAG